AATAAGGTAAATAAAACATTATGGGTCTTTGTGGGGAAGGTTAAATTCTACTGTAATGCTACCAATATCTACCTCTGTCATTTTTGGTGAAACAGAAGAAATTATTTATGGAACAATTGATTATTCTATCACTCTCTCTTTATCAATTTTCATCTTTCTTATTCTTTCTTTTATATTGCTTTAATTTTCTTTAATCTAAGTCATTCAAAATTCTGTCCTGCTTTTGCATTGCTTGAATTTTTCTTTGTCTTTGCTCCTTCATTTATACCTATTTTTTCTTTTTCATTTAAGTGCCCCCCACAACCATTTTTTTTTTACATCCACTTCTTCCTTTCCTCTACTTTAATTTTTCTTTCACATTTATTTTATATTTCTTTTTTTCCCCTTTTTTTTTTTTTTTTACACACTCACCTACCTTCTGTTTTCCTCTACTCTCATTAATTTATTTTTCTTTCTCATTTATTTCAAGTTTCTTTTCCTTTTAAGGAAACCATTAATACTCTCATAACTATTTGTTCTCTTCTTTCTACACACACACACACACACACACACACACACACACACTTATTCCTCTTTCTTTGACTTTTATTCTTCTTTTTCTTTCTCATTTAATTCAAGTTTCTTTTCTCTTCTTTTACACATTAATTCTTCTTTTGTCTTTATTTGTATTTCTCTGCTTCTCTCTTTTATCTCTGCTAATCTTCTGCCAGCCTAAAACAGATCAGAGACTACAATATTTATTCATTTCTTACTTTTCTTCCCACTCTACATGATCCCCTTCAGATCAGTAATAAACACTCATTATTAGAGTCTGTGCCCATCACCAACATCCAAATGATGAAATCCCAACCCTTAGTAATGGTCATCTTTAATCATCTCTTCTTTCAGTCTCATGGCTTCTTACACTTTTACCAAATTCTTTTCTCAGAAGTCTAGATACCAAAGACTCACCAGTTATTCCTTTTTTTTCTTCTTTTTCACAACTATCTTTGAGATTAGCTGCATGGGCCTTGGTGTAAAGCAATCAGTGTCCATACTCCCAACCTCACATCATTTATCCACTCTTGTGTCATTTCTATTCCTGTGAGTGGGTAGACATGTCAGTCCCAACAAACCTCATCTTCTCTCCTGAGTAGATTCAAATATTCTAATTTCACTAATCTTCCCTATCATCTCCTGGCTTCTCTATCTTTTCTGTTTTTGTAATCAGCATCTGGGCTCTCCTTCCTGGTGTCATCCTCTTCCTCCCAATCCTTCTTACTCTTCTTTATGACAGCATCCATATTCTTGTGTTCATACACTAAGTGGTGGCTGTTAGCTTTCACTTTTACCTTCCTTGATAATCTCCACACTTGAGCCAAACATTACTCGTTCTCTTTCAAGGATGAAAGATTTTATCATCAAACACCTTTCCACTTCCAATTTTCATTCTTCAGCACAATCAATCTATACCTTGATCCGTGTTCCTTGTATGAAAGAATAATTAGTGTCACTTTGCTTTGCTTTCTTGTCTGACATCGGTCTCTTTTCTTTCCCTTTTGTTGTCAAGAGAATTTTTAGCTACTTTATGTGCAGAGGAGTAAAATAGACTTCCAAGACTAAAACCAAAATTCCTCATTTGTGTTCCTTTTTTGGTATCTCCCAATATTTGCTTCTAGTTATCTCTTCGCAAGACAATCAACTTATAGCTTAATCATGTGCACATACACCCACACACACATATATATATATATATATATATATATATATATATATTATATATATATACATGAGAGAGAGAAAAAAGGTAATAAAAGAAATTCCCAGAACCATATATATAATGGAAGTTAATGTTTAGTTAGCAAAGAAGAGTTTAGAATAACTTCTGTTATATTTTGATAATTATTCTCACCATCTTTAGGACATTACCAAGAAACATCTGCACTGTATTTTCAGAGTAACTGTTATGTTCCGTGCCAGTAGGAATATATATGTGAACAACATGGTGGATAAAATAGGTAAAGGTTTATTGTAATAACAAGTACAATAAGAAATAAGGTAACAGTTATGCACACGATTGTCGCAAGTCAATCCAGTAATGAGTGCTGCTATTGGAAGGTCAGTAGTTCTCACATAAGTCTGAGTCATACTCAACACATCCCAGCAAGTCTCCCATCGTCCATTGCCTTACAGATACTTATAGGTAGTTACTACCTATAGTGTAGTCACTCTTAGGGGTGACAGGTTATTCTATTACATCAGTAACTCATTTGCAAACCATTTTATTATAAATAATTTGCAATGCATTTCTGCAATAAATCATTCACAATGCATTATAACCTGCAGTAAATTTTCACAGTAAATCACCTGCAATGTATATCTATTGTAAATAATTTGCAATGTATTAATTGCTCAGCATGTTTCCACCAAGTCCAAGTACACACAGCCCGATCCAAGGATTGAATTTGAAATTACTATGTCACGGAACATGGAAATGGTGCCAACAATAACTGAGCAGCATTAAATAAGAACTAGATGAGATATCCCTGGACATGGGCAGTGAAATGAGAAAAATCTACACCTGTAGGGCTTGGTTTGAAATTCCTTCACGGTTACCCATATTCACAATCAATTGATGAAGACTGGAGAGTACAACAGCTGAAAAGATGGGACCAATAATCTGCATTACTTACACTATTTACATTATTTGGACTGTTATCCACATCTTCATTGCCATATTCACAATGTTTCAGTTGTTGTACACTCTGGCCTTCTTCAGGTGAATGGAATTTTGAACTGAGGTTAAAATAATAGACAGAGAACATCACTGGAAAATATGAAAAACTTAAGGAATCAGCACATATGCTAGGTCACAAAAATCTGCGCTGACCAAGCATAGAAATGAATATAATATGGGAACCAGTAATAAGAAGTGCTAGAAAAAAGCAGTGAATAATAATAATAACAGAAAAATTGCAATATGAGCACTGGTAAAAACAGTATCTTAGATATTAGGCTTATAAGTCCGAGAAATTCAAATACAGATGTCCTTAAGGACCTATTGCCCAATGGATAAAGGTGTTGGTTAGATCCAGTGACTAGACACAAAAAGTTGTGAGTTCAATACCAGGCTACAGCAGTGGTGAACCAAAAATAGGGCATACTACAGTTAAGAGTGCATCAATGAGCTTTTGATTTTTTTCAATTTAAGTATCTTTAAATATATTCAAAATTCCCTGTAGGTTACCTGGATTGATATACACCTGAGGAAGGCTGGAGAGCACAATGATGGATAGCAATAATAAAGATAAGGACAATAATCAGCATGTAAATAATATAAACAATTATAACAGTTTTTCTCTGCTGAATCTATCTTACCAATCATCCAGGCCTTGAATATTGCTGTTACATATGGACTGATGTTTCTGCTATATATTTAGAGTTTCTTGATAAAATCCAAAGACAAATCAGCAATTTTATTGGTCCTCATCTGATGTCTCATCTTCAGTCACTTTTCCCCCACTGTAAAGTTGCTTCCCTGTGTCTTTTCTATAAATACTTTCATGGTAATTGTTCAGATGAACTTGTTGTTATGGTACTTAGACTTTATGAATTTAAGCACAGGACTAGATTAGCAACAAGGTCTCATGAACTGGCTAGATGTAACTGTAAGTTCTATGCTAACAGTTTCATTCCTATCACTTCTTGCTTGTGGAACTTTCATCTGGCTTCTTGCTTTTTTGTCAAGTTCAATCTTCAAAAAAAAAGTCTCATTATCTACTGTCTTCCGGATTACTTTTCTATTGTTCTTGCTCCTCAATAATTATTCTGTTTTCTAATTCTTTCATACCCCTTGTGTCTTAGTGGCTTTACTGCCTTGTTTGGGGTGAATTTGATTTTAAAATATCCCAGAAATTCAGGCAGAAATTAAATATTTCACTTTTTTGCAATCCTTTTCTTGTTTGTTATTCATTCGTTTCAGATGTTTACACAAGTAACAACTGTGTTTATAACTGTCTTTCTGCTTCATAATTTTATGCATTTGGAATCCCTTTTTTTCTTCAGATTTATTATTTGATTGGTAGTCACCAGCAAATGAATGTTTTTTTGTTTTTATTTTTGTTTTTTTTTTTTCCTGGAGAATGATATAGTTTTTTTTTTAGGTTGCTTCCTTTTATTCATTCTTTTTTCTTTCTTTTATTTCCTTTCCTACATATCATATAGCCTGATTTCATGTAATAATTAGCTGCTGGACTTAGTTTCCATCTTCTTTGTAATCATTTCACTTAAACCTAACATATCTCTTTCCCTTTCTGCAGTATGGATTTTATCATCAAATACCTCTCTATTCTCATTCTTTCTTCCATGGTATAATCAATCTATAACCTTGATCTAAGCTTCTCCTCTGAAGGAAGAATTAGTAACACTTTCTCCTAGTTTCCATATTTGGCATTTACCACTTTTCTTTCTGTGGACAGAATTCCAAGTTTTTGAGTCTCTTTTTCCTCTAAGTAAAATGTAAAGTTTAAATTTTAGCCAGAATTCTTTTCCACTTTTCTTTTAATCTTAGTTAATGTGTATTGTTGTATCTGAAGTGTTCAAAAGGCTGACACCATTTTAAGCCTATCTATGAACAAGGTTAAATCTTGACTTCACTCACTACCTATTTGTGCAGGAAGCTAGAAAATATACAGAAATGTGTAAACAAATGGATCTTACAAAAAAGCTATAAATTCTTGCTAAACAACATCTTTATACAATAGCCCACCATTTATTTATCAGTGAATGGCAAATGAAATATATATATTTCTTTCCAAAGGAATAATGTTCTTTCATCATGCTTTTTTAAAAAGTTTCTCTTTGGTTAATGATTGAGACTTGCTTATTTTCTTTTTAATGCTCTGTTACAAATTGTTCATGGACATCAAATGATATTTATTCAATCTTTTTTTTATATAGGAGAATATAGTAGACTAATAACAAGAGTAGGGAAGTGAAGGTAACCTAAGAGTTAGTAGCACAGAAAATTGAACTGGCAATACAATTTTAAATTTGTGTTTACTTTGTACTAATGCCCTTAGGAAAGTAAAGACTTTCTCCTCTCTAATCAGCTATGAATTAAATAACATGGAAGGCTGTTCTCTTAAAATTTGGTTGGTAGCCAGTTTAGGACAACTCCAAATTCAAAATCTAGAACGGAACCCCATGAAGTAGTTGGATCTTACTTTCAACTTCTTCAGCCAGCTTCTATTGCCAAGCTGAGCTTAAGATGTATGATTTTCTAAAGTTTTTAATCAACAGAACTCTGATAAAGTTTTATCAAGGCCAGCCAGTCTAATGTGGATTAAAAAAAAAAAAATAAAAGCACAAAATGAAAACCTGTCCACAACAACTTGTACAAATGGGTAACAAAGAAAAAAAAATTAAATAATATCAGTGTTTCAAATAAAGTCTTGTGTAATATATTTTCATTATTTTTACATATCTTAAACATTTTAATAAAATATTATAATTCATTGATGAGATAAGAAAGAATATACTAGTCATATAAAAGAAACAATAAAACTGTATTTCCAAAAGTTGTTTGAACTATTACAAATGTTCCTTGTGTTGTTCTTCTCCCAATTCTTTGGCAAATCTCCGAGGAGAGAACGGTCTACTTTTTGTTTTTACAGAAAACATTTGCCACTCTTTCTCTTCTGTTCACTGCCAATTTTTAAAGAAAATAGAACCCTTTTTTTCCTTATGCATTGTACTCTTGAAAAAGCATGTACAACTGATTGGCTAAAATATTGTTATAACAGAAAGGCAAAACAAAGAATGAGCTCAATAATCCAAACATCTGAAATAATCTATCAATCTTCAATTCTCAAACTTATTAAATACTAGCAGTAGAGCCCGGCGTTGCCCGGGGATGTAACACTAAGAGATAGATCAAGTATCGACCATCATAAAGACTGAAAAATAAAATTGACAAAGATTATTGTTTAAGGTTGATGGACACGCATGTCTTAATTAGTTTTTTTTTGTTGTTTTTTGTTTTTTTTACGAATTGGTCAAACCCAAACTCAAACAAAATCAGTGTTTTCAATCGTTATGAGTCTATCGATTGAATAGAATGTTATTATAAACAATTGTCTTGTAAATGGAATTTTTAAAGCATTCTGAATGTAAAAAATAAAGAAAAATGTGTGAAAGACAATAAGAAACACTACCTGCCAAAAAAAAGTGAAGTTTTGTTGAAATCGGTTGAAAAATGTAAGAAATCCGATCCCATATATAAACACACACACACACACACACAAAACCTGGGTTTTATAAGTATAACTTGATATGAGTTGTGACCTTTTCATTCCTGCGACAGCGATGCCTCTTAATCGTGTTTTCAAATTGATTTCGTGCAAAAACAATTGTGTTTTTCCAATTTTTGGCACTGTCAGAACCACCACAAAGTAATTTTACGTAGTCATGTGAAGTTTTGTTGAAATCGGTTGAAAAATGTGGGAAATCTGATCCAATATATAAACGAACAGACACACACACACAACCTGGGTTTTATAATAAGTATGATCTTATACTTCAATCAAGCTTCATTATGAACTGAACTTATGAAAAAAGAATATCCTAAAGCCACCTATTAGAAAACTTGAAAACAGTTTTTGTGGTTTGGTCTCTTGACTCTATTCTTTGAATGGTGCTTGTTATTTTGCAGAGTTTTGCTGAATTCATTCTACTCTCTTCATCAAATGTCAGTCAGTTATGTGCCATGTATGATACATGCTTAGGCGAACATGTATCTTTTGATACATGACTGATGAGGCAGATTTTTTTTTCCCGCAGTAGGTTGCCATTTCTTTCTGCGGTAGACCAGTTGCCATCCAAGGCTATAGAACCCAATCTGTCCTGCTATTGAGGGGAGAAGAAGAGGATTCACACCTTTCCCAAGGGTATTAGCATGTAAGTGAATTTAATGGATTCAAGTGGATTTCAATCTCAGCTCTCAGATTCCTCAATCCGAGCTGCCATCCATTACTCCACTGTGCCTCCTGGCAAAAGTACACTTCATAAACAAGGAGCAGGATTTATTTTTATATAAAGTTTTAGGCCATATGTCTTGTTTACAAGAAAATCAAAGTGCAAATATTTACTCTAATAATTTAATTCTGCTATAGTCATTTATTAGATTTATTTTAATGCTATTTTCAAATCTACTGAGGACATCAAAATCAAGAAGATACAGAAATTTAATTTTGAGTGTCATAGCAGATGATGGAAAATATGATACAGAAATTCAAAGGTCAATAGAAATAGTGAAAGATAACTTCCTTTCTGAAACTCAGCAAGGTATTAACACATAGGAAAATGTTGTTAAAAAACAAACAAAAGAGTCCTAAATTTTTGTTAAACATCCACTCTATACCGGGTGTAACAGCAAAATTGTTCAAATCATGTTACAACATAATTGTTGATCCCACAAAATGTTTAATATTTAAAATACAACTAAATTAATTAAGTTTCTTTTTTCCAGTTTTTCGGATAAGACATTTAGCTGTAAAGTGTTATAAAAACCTTGGAGAATTTCAGTAAGATATATAGATAGAACAGTTCAAAGCTAAATCTAATAAATGGACAATTTTGCTATTACACCCAGCATAGCATTGGATATTTGACAATCTCTTCACCGAGGAGGAGGAGGTGGCTTGAAGCAACAGAGATGTTGTTCTATTAACAAATGCTATGAATACTATTGAGAGAACATGTGTGCATTATGATGATCTTAAGGAAGAATAAAAGTAACAAAGAAACTCATAATTACAGTAAAAAAGAAACGGATGAAATTTCTGGACACATAATGAAGGAAAATGGGTTGGAGAATTTAGCACTGCCAGAATCTACACAAGGCAAGAGAAGCAAGGGAAAACAGTGAGTAACCTACTAAACAAGTTTGTGTGGATGGATGGCAGACAGAGACAAAGATGGGTGGTAAAGAGTCAAAAGTTACTTAGAGCAATAAAGGACAATGTGGAGAGCCATGATCGTCCAAGTTCTGAAAGGAGCTTTGCACATAAAAGAGGAGGACTGGATATCTCATTACTATTAACAAGATGGTTATGAATTTACAAGAAAAAATTCCTTTTGTTGCAGTTTATCATATTGTTGTACCCTTAGAGAAGGTTACAAACAGACAAAGGTGGTACTCAAGTGAAAGGAACAGCAACACAGGCATAGATGAAAGAAAGAGAGGTTTATTGTAAAAGATAATACACTACTGAGACACATGGAATTGGTTTGCAAGTTAGTAATTCCCGAAGCAAGTCTGCAGTATATCCTGTGCTTACTATATATATCTACTGATATAGTCAGTTCACATATGTGATAGGCAGTGTAAGACATTCCATTACAACACATATCATTACTGATATTTACCAAGCAAACTTGGTACATTTTTCTCCTTCGATGTGCCATGTCTCTTCAACATGCAGGCGATCATGGCTCTCCATAACTTCCTGCCCTTGTCAGCTCTTTGTAAGGTTTGTCATTTCACTATCCTGTTCTGTGATCCATTTATGAAAGCTCATTAGGTAGATTACTTGTTGCTTTCTCTCATCTTCATGCTTTTAGCATGTCCTGTGAGTGTCAAATTATCCAAACCCTCTTTCCTCATTATGTATCCAAAAAATTTCAACTGTCTCTTTCTGATTATAAGTCTTACTTCCTACCACCTGAAGAAGGCCGGAGCGTACAACGGCCGAAACGTTGTGACAAATATGGCGACAAAGATGAGGACAATAGTCCGACTAATGTAGATACTGTACATAATCCCTCATCTCAGAAATATAGACAGACTCTGAAGTCTTACTTCTGTTTCCATTTTTATTAAAACTTCTATGTTGCTCACATGCTTGGTATTCTCAGCTTCCTTCTAAAGTATCACGTTTATTTTGCTTCAAGTCTCTTCTTCATTTGTGAAGAGATTGTTCAACATTCAGTGCCATCTAGGATGATGTGCATTACATTACAAACCAAATTTGGTAAAAATATTGTCTAAGAAGATTGTATCTTGTCAATTCTTTTAGTGAGGCATGTCTACTTTTTTTTAAAACCAGCATTCAAGATACTGGCTTTTACCTGGATTTAACCCACTGAGGGAGGCAGGTTTCTCTCCTAACATCAGTAATGGTTTTTACTTGGCTTATAACCCAAGTTACTAAACCTAGCAGTGACTTCATGAACATTCAATAAGTGGTTATACTTTACATAATAATTACAATCTGAAACATTGGTATTTAGTATGGAAAGATGAAGTCTTTTCTACAAAACCCAGCAAACATAATTTGACTTATATATGTAGTTACGGAATCAAAAAGAAATTTGAGGACTAAAAAAACAACCATGTTTATGAGAACATATCTAACTCTTATCATCAACTGATAACTACAATCAGCCAGTTATGTGCCATGTGTGATACATGCCTAGGTGATCATGTATCTTTCGATACATGACTGATGAGGAAGATATTTTTTTCCCCGCAGTAGGTTGCCATTTTTTTTCCAGTAGACCAGTTGCCATCCAAGGCTATAGAACCTGGTCTTCTCTGCTATTTACCCATCGCTGGGGAGAGAAGTAGAGGATTCATACTTTTCCCAAGGGTATTAGCATGTAAGTGAATGTAATGGACTTGATTGGAATTTGAACTCGGTTCTCTGATTCCACAATCCAAACCCTTATCCATTACCCCACCTTGCCTCCTTAAGTCAGTTATGTGCCACGTGTGATACATGCTTAGGTGATCACATATCTTTCGATACATGACTGACGAGGCAGATTTTTTTTCCTGCAGTAGTTTGCCATTTCTTTCTGCAGTACACCAGTTGCCATCCAATGCTATAGAACCTGGAGGGGGGAAGAAGAGGATTCATACCTCTCACAAGGGTATTAGCACATAAGTGAATGTAATGGATTTGACTCTCTGATAGCTACTATCCATTACTCCACCGTTTAACTACAATATTGAACAAAAAAAAAGTTTTTTTTTAAGAGCAAGTGTTAATAGTTCTAAATTAATTTTCTTCTGTGCTTACATGCACAAATCATATTCATCCAATATGTTCACTGTGTGATTGCTCAAACACTGGCAATTTGGGAAAATATGCAGCTATGTCAGCCATAAAGCATTCAATAAGTGACTAAAATCACTCTTGATCACCTTTTTCCTAGAGTCATCTAAATTCAGTTCTTTGTTTTTCACAATGTAATGAGTTGCATGCAAATTCATGTTATATCTGTCATAGGAAGCATTTCAACAATATCAATCACTTTGCATCAGATTTATAAGGAAACAACCTATGCATTGAATGGATATTTGCTCTTATGTCTTGCTCTGCAGGTAAAATATGTGAAAATACTCATTAATCTGCAAGATGTCTAGCAAATATGATATTTGGATTGAGAAGCCATTGCTGAGCTAAAGTGGCAAATGCAATTGTGTAAGTCAATAAAATTGATGTCAGCAACCACAGATGATGTCATTAATGATGCAATTTTGTATTTTGGGATCAAGAAAAGCAAGAAAAGTAGAGGGAAAGAAGCAAGTGCTGAATGAGGATTTGCAGAAAGATAAATGAAACAAGAAGAAGCACTGAAGAAGATGATGATAGAGAAAACTTGAAGCAAGGTCAGAAGAAAGGTAAGGAAAGAGAGGAAGAGTTAATAGTGTATAAATAGATGAAGAAAAAGAATGAGTAACAGAAACAGAAAAAAGAGGCAAAGAAAGAAGAAAATGAATATTGAAAGTGATTACTGAAATGAATGAAAAAGTAAAAACAGAATGCTAAAAATAAAATGGAATGAAAAACTGCTAAAAAGTGAACATCACTGAAAAAAAACACAAAAGAGTAAAACAAAGAAGAAAAGTGATAAAAAAGGAATGAGTAGCAAAGAAAAATCTTTACTAAGATAGAAAAAAGATAAGTGGATAGAAATAACAAAAATAGAGAAAGATATGAAGGATAATTAAAAGGAGTAGGGGAAAAATGATAGGTGAAAGACATTAGAAAGAAAGAGAAGAGAGGAGAGGAGAAGAAGAAGGTGGTAGTTGAAAAGAAGCTAAAGGAGAGCAAAGAAAATTTGGTTCAAAAGAAAAACAAGAGATTAACCATTGCGCCAAAGAAAGGAAAGGAAAAACATGAGAGAAAAACTTATGGAAAGAAGAATGAATAAAATAAAGGAGAAAAGAGGAATGAAAAAGTAAAGAAGAAAAGAGGAATAACTAAAGTAAAAAAAAAAAAGAGGAACGAATAAAGTAAATGTGTAAAGAGGAACGAAGTAAAGGAGAAAAGATGAATGAATAAAGTAAAGGAGAAAAGATGAATGAATGAAGTAAAGGAGAAAAGATGAATGAATGAAGTAAAGGAGAAAAGATGAATGAATAAAGTAAAGGAGAAAAGATGAATGAATGAAGTAAAGGAGAAAAGATGAATGAATGAAGTAAAGGAGAAAAGATGAATGAATAAAGTAAAGGAGAAAAGATGAATGAATGAAGTAAAGGAGTAAAGAAGAAAAGAGGATTGAATAAAGTAAAGGAGAAAAGAAAATTTTAATTCTGACATTTATAGACATTGTGCCATATAGTTTTCATTGCAAATTACACAGCTCACAAATTAAGGTGAAAATTATAAATTCAACCCTTTGAAACACAAGTAATTAATCTAATTACTGCAAAAGGAGCCAATAAATGAGCTTGTCAAAACTAAAATGCACCACAGAAAATTGGCACTTTGTACTACATCTTCATTAACATTAATTCACTTGCCTCTAAACACCTGCTTTAATTTTGTACCATTTCACTGCACCTCTTTCTACTTCTGGGTATGGATGGCTAGCTAAAGTGTTTTTCTTATTATGCAAAAACTGAAAAGATTTTATCCTCCTATATTATAGTGGTCATTATAAGAAACAATAAGAATCAGTTCTCTTTTCATTAGCATACCAAATATATTTATACAGTTTTCCAACACAACAAGGAAAAATACAGATATGCATTGATTCTTTCCAACCATTTTCCTCATGTTTCTTGTTTTAGAGGGCAATAGCCATTTTATCAACTCTTTCACTGTTGTGCATCTTTACAAAAATTAACTTGTCAGCTGTTGAGAACCTGGCCGTTGGTCTTGAAAACGACCTCCAATCTGTGGTTGACCAGGATAAGAAATGGCTTTTGAATTTAAATGCATCCAAAGTGAAATTGCTCTCATTTACTCACCATGGTTGATACTCAATGTCACAAGAACGCCTCACTGCACCTTCTTGGTCTCATGATCTCCACTGACCAGAGGTGGAACAAATACATAGAATTAACAGCTGCATCTACCACAAGGAAAGTTGGTTCTCTGTGTCATGCCAGAAGGTTTTTCTCATCTGAGTCCATCCATCATCTACAAATCTATCATTTGTCCATGCATTGAATACTGTTATCATTTGTCCATTCATTGAATACTTGTTGACAGATATGCAAGGATCCATCCCTTTGGTCTCAAGTTCCTTTCTCATTGATGTAATTCCCTCTATGTTTCTATAAATATTTTTTGGCAACCTGATGAGCTATTTTCACTGGTACCCCAATACATGAATTTAAACATGCTACTAGGTTGCCATTTGTTTTTTACTGTCGAAATGGCACCTCTTCTCTCCAATTGCTTCTTTGCTCACACTTTAGTGGGATGATAACTATAATCTTCAAAAAATTGATTCACATTCTTTTATCCTCCTCCATTTTTTTTTTTATCCTTTCCTCATATATAGTCTTTTATATTTATATATATACTAATATATATATATATATATATATATATATATATATATATAATTTATAATTTAATTTAATGCAAAAGGAATAGGGGAAAACAGCAGAACTGAGTTTAGGAGAGATAACAAAAAACAAAATTTAGTAAGAGCTATAAAGGAAAGGAAATTGCAGATAGCTATGATCACCAATATCCTAAATGGTCATGATACATAAAAGAAGAGCAACACAAAAAATGTACTTCTCAATCTAAGGCAGTGTAGCACATCTTAATATGAATAGTATTTGTTAAAAACTTCATCTCTGTATTTGGCGGTATTCAAAGGAAATTCTTTATAACAAAATGCCGAAACCTGGACAAACTGTGACTGCACAACACTACAGTGATTAACAAAAGTTTTGAACTAGTTTCCCCCATAATAGTTGTTATTATACTCACACCATTTTGGTTGTTATACTGTCCGGCCTTCTTTCATTATTTATAATGGAATATTTGAGATGAGAAATTATCATTATTATATGCTTTGCTATTCAGACCAGCATTCACATCTTGATTGTTATACTCACACCATTTTGGTTGTTATACTCTCCGGCCTTCTTTCAGTATTTATAATGGAATATTTGAGATGAGAAATTATCATTATTATATGCTTTGCTATTCAGACCAGCATTCTCATCTTGATTGTTATACTCACACCATTATTTTTTGGAATATTTTGTTATACTCTCCAGCCTTCTTTCATTATTTCATTATTTGCTAATGGAATATTTGAGATGAGGAATTATCATTTTTATATGCTTTGCTATTCAGACCAGCATTCTCATCTTGATTGTTATACTCACACCATTTTGGCTGTTGTACTCTCCAGCCTTCTTTCATTATTTATATTGGAATATTTGAGATGAGGAATTATCATTATTATATGCTTTGCTATTCAGACCAGCATTCTCATCTTGGTTGTTATACTCACACAATTTTGGCTGTTGTACTCTCCAGCCTTCTTTCATTATTTATATTGGAATATTTGAGAGGAGGAATCATCATTATTATATGCTTTGCTATTCAGACCAGCATTCTCATCTTGGTTGTTATACTCACACCATTTTGGCTGTTGTACTCTCCAGCCTTCTTTCATTATTTATATTGGAATATTTGAGATGAGGAATCATCATTATTATATGCTTTTGCTATTGCATTCTCATCTTGGTTGTTATTCAGACCAGCTGTTTCTCAGCCTTCTTTCATTATTTATATTGGAATATTTGAGATGAGGAATTATCATTATTATATGCTTTGCACCATTTTGGCTGTTGTACTCTCCAGCCTTCTTTCATTATTTATATTGGAATATTTGAGATGAGGAATCATCATTATTATATGCTTTGCTATTCAGACCAGCATTCTCATCTTGGTTGTTATACTCACAAAATTTCAGTTGTTGAACTCTCCAGCCTTCATATAATTATCATGATCATTAGTCATCTCAGCATTTTGAACAAAGCCTTTTATTCAATCCACAGTTTTAGATTTTTTTACAAGCCAATTGCGATATTCCTAATCAGTATCTCCCCTTTAAACATTACTGCTCACCTGAAACAAACACTGCGTAGGTAAGTTGATGTAATGATGCCAGATTTTATGTTTATCTGCTTTTCACTTTATGACAGCCGAAATTTTGTTTTTTTCTTTATTAGATAGGATCAAAAATGTAAAAAAGTAAATATTCTATTCTTTGACATTTTCCATGTTTTATATTGCCTGGAAGATTATGATCACATGGTTTTTCAGACAAATCCTTTTACGAGAAAAAATAAAACAAATTTAATATACAAAGAAGTCAAACTACTTTTGACAATGACAGTAACAGATAAACATATATAATTTCCAAATTTCCACATTTTGTTTTCGGAATTCCTAATCAAAATTATTTTGTGCAATTTATATCAAAATAATAATGTATCTATTGAATATGAGTATTGAGTTCTATAAATAAACATCACTGCAAACAAGAGTCCCTGAATATTTCTCTTGTTATTTTAAGATTTGTTTGCATATCTGTAGCTTTTACTGACTACCAAGTATTTTTCAAACACCAACTCAAATTGACAGGAGAATTGTATATTCAATATATTTTTGTAAAATTCTGATACAAACAGAAAAAGATCCTGGGTTCAGGTCTAACATTAATGCTTTGTTCACAAGAATCTTTAATATTAGTGATGAAACTGGTTACTTTGAAATGTAAGACTGAGTCACAGAGTTCCAGAATCTTCTTTAATAGTGGCAGCAGTCAACATGCTACAAAGAAGTAATCAGTACAAAAAATTTGGATGAATCAACTGTGGACTGTGATATTCACATTACATTTAATCAAGCAATATTCATATATTATCAAAAAGCAAACTCAAATGTCACTTATTAAATGCAATAAAGTTCAGTACTTTTTTTTTTTTTGTAATATACAATATAAGTTGCAACATTTCTTTCACCAGCTAAGGTTTTCATTCATTTTGCATGCTATAAAAGAGTAACCAGCTACCTGTTTGTAAAGCATACAATTAAAATTCCAGAGAGCAATTAGACAAAGAACATCAAAGTGGCAATTATGAATAAATTCTGCGATAGTTATCTGCATTGGGCTAATAACCATCAATTTAAAATTAATTTTGGCATCAGTTTTTTTCTATGTTCATCTGGACAGAATTTCAACATATACCCCCTACCACACACTGACTCATTTTATTAATTTCTATCTGCTGTTGATTGCGCTCAGTTACCAAAATAATTTGCTAACCTCGAATTCCAGATTCTTCAACATATTTTCTAACGTCTCAGTGAAAAGACTGAATCTACTGCAGTCTGACATAAGAGGAGCATTTGTTTAAATCTGAGTATTAGTTTATTTTTATCACTTTGTATTGTTTTATTTATCAGTTGTTTAATATTAAGTGGCCGCTACATGTGGTTATATTTACTGAAATTAACTTAGTATGATAGAAAGCCAAGGAAAAGACCAGAACAAGAAAATTGTTGTTATGCCAATCTTCCAATTGGAAACATTCAGTCTTTCTTGGATATCAGCATTCACAATACTGACTTTTATTTTGCTTTGAACAAAACCAAATGTATAACTAAAATGTTTCAGCCATGAAACAAGCCACTGAGGGTAATATATTATTCTCAGCTTAATTAGGCTACAGTAATAAGTAACCCTGTGAGGATTGCGCTTATACTGTAGTATTTGCATGCAAGACAAATTTAACTACTGCTCAACATGTTGTGTTGTTTACTATTGAAAACATTTTTTAATGCCATATCCTTTTACAGTTTAGACATTTGTGATTCTACACACATTCTATTTCTAATTATCTATGATTTGACATGACTTCTTGGGAAAAATAATGGAGTGATTTTCCGTTGCCTTCTTCATGTTTTTTTTTTTAATTTAATGTTGTCCTTTTCCTAGACTCATGTTTCCCAACATGGAGCACACATTCTGCAGGGAAGCAATTTGATTTTTAAGGTGGGCATTTTCAAAATGAGTTATTAACAGTGAATGTTTCCTAGTGAGTATGAGTGTGTATGCTAGTTAATACATATGGTGCATATACTGTATGCATACATAAAAATATTTGTGTATGTACTGTATATAATATATATTTATTTATATTAGTAAAACAATGTTTTTTATAAATACTGTAAAAATCTAAAATTAAGTGATAACACTGTTACATATATTCTGTCTCAAGTTCTTAAGGAAAGTTATGTTAATGACCTTTTAGGCTTTCTCAACATGAAGTAGAGTTCACTTAAGAA